CCTTTCTGTGGGTCAAATCTGCGCTGAAATACAAAATGAGTAATGCACCTGACATTACTATCTAGTTCAGTGAGATAAGAGCAAGGCACCCTGGTGTAGCAAAACATTTTTGTCTCTTTGAAAGCATGTGAACAGTCTGATCAACCTGAGTAGCGCAGAGTTAAATACACTTCTGCATGAGGCCTCTGGGTATAGGTGTTGTCTTCATATAAACAAACTGCACGGGAACCAAGGGGTTGGGAGCAAGGGGTTGCTCTGCTCGATGTTAATGCTTTGCTGTGTTCCGTCTTTGTCCCTACTAATGTTATTTCTCCAATAGCTTGCAGACTTTATTCTTGCGTAATGTCTGTACCTTTTACTTTCAGAGCACCTCACTGAAGAATCATGTTAAGTAATGATCAAAAAATAACTCATCAATCTGTGTAGACATGACAGGCACTGTAACACTGTGTTAACATGTTATAGGTACAAGTTGAAGAAGAAAATGCTGAAAAGCTGTCAGCATGATTTGTTTATACAAGTGCTAAAGTTATGTTTGATATGTTAATGCAACCTCATTTTCTAGTAAAGGCCAAACACTATTAAGTGGTTATCGGCATTGATTTTTCTATCTTCTGAAATACTCAATTCATTGTAAACCATCTTTACTCCTTTTGTGTACCTGGAACTTGGACCAGTTTCTTTCTGGGTGAGCCTCAAGGACTTTACTCTGTGATATTCTCATTGTCCACTTCTTGACCTTTCTGTCAGTGTCCCCTTTAGCAGGTGCTCCTTTTTGCAATTTGTCAGGATTTCCCTGTGGTATTGTCGACTTTCCCACCTGGATAGTCACTGAAAGGGGTCGGCACCTGCTTCAGGTTGAACTGGTGCCTCTCAGAAACATCCTCATTCTGATGAATCATGTTAACTGATGCTCATTTAAAAAGACTCACCAGTAGCCTAGTGGTTTAAATTTGAAGATGAGAGGGGAGGTGTACTTGCTGTCTCTTCCTGTCTGAATCTCTTCTTAACCTTTTGGTATGTTACCTGCTTTGCTTTTCATTTTGTGCTTAGCTGCTTGTGATATATCTTGTGCTGGGTACAGGGGTATTTGTTTGGAAAGGCTGAGTGCATTTAGAAGAGCACAGCCAGATTGCACTGTGGAAATACGGTTAAAGAGGAGATTGAGTACCTGTTGCTGGGAATGGATGATGTTGTAGTGAAAATTGTACAGCTGGGCACTGATGGTTGCTCTAAGAACACTTGGAGTTGGCTTAAAGAGGTTCACTGTCTGACAAATATGTTATCACCTGAACGAGGCTAGCTAAAGTAGGAGACTTTGAGGGAAATATATTCAGAGAAGAGAACAAATATGAGGGTTTGAACAAAGAGAGGAAATCTTTTTCCAGTTGGGTTTTGGGTTTCATTTTTTGTATCTTCAGTATTGCCTCTCTAGCTACAGAACTCTGAATGCACACAGTAGACTACACGATGAAGTTAATTCTTGGTGGATTTTTTGTGTGAAACCCTTAAAAAATTACATGCTACCATTTGTGAGGCTTTAATATCCTTTACTTAGCAAAGTCTTTAGCATTCTGATCAAGGCATGCTCTCTTTGACATCTATTTACATTACTCTCATATTCCTTGATGTACTCAAAGTATCTTAGGTAAAGAAGCAGTTTTTTCAATTAACAGCCTGTCTTTCATAAAGTGTTAAATATCATGAGAACTTCCATCTAAGTGCACAATTATACCTCGGATCAGATGTTTAGTCAATTTGTGTTGCACAAAATACCTTGTCTCTGACTTTAAGAGGATTCTGTTTGAAGGTTTCCCAAGTATGAATTTTCACAAGTTTGAGATAAGAGGGTTTAGACATTCTTATTTATAATATTTAAAATGAAACACTTCCTTTAGCTTTCAGCTTTCCTAAAAGGATACATCTAACATTTCCTTTTTGCCAGTACTGAATTGGACTATGTCTTCTCTTCACTGTGCTCCAAAAAGTATTTTTATATATGTTTTTAGAAGGAAATCCAGTTTCTTACTTGCAGCTGTTGGCATTTTAGAGCCCTAGAGTGAACCAATAAAAACAGATGTTCTTTTAAAGAACATCTATTTTTACTGGACCTTGCTAACAACCAATGACACAGAATTCAAAAAATGTTGGCTCAAACTAATAGAAGGGCTACATTGTTTTAAATTCTATTTTTAAAACTTTTTACAGCAAGATTACACAAAAATTTCATATGCTCTTGTTCTTGTGAAAAAAAAGAGTGCTTGCTTTTAGAATTCTATCTTAATGTTTTAAAAGTAGTTCAGGTATTAAAGTGTTGTAGAGTATAAAAATTTTAATAAGACATAGACAATGTTGCCATTTAAGAGTATTATAATACTTTCACAAACAGGCTAATAAAGATTTTACTTCCTAAGCATCTAGGAATAAATAAATTTTGATTGATAATTCAGAAAACCTTCTGTTAGTACATTGTTTCCAACATATTGACACTTATGTGCAAAGGTCAAATTAGATCACCATTTCTTTCAATGATACCCTCAAAATGGATTCAAGCAATATGCTGGTTGAATATGCCTAGATTTTTTTCAGATACCAGCATTCTTAGTGAAAAATTAAGTTACAGATTAATTACAAAATGCTACCAAGATTGATATAAATGTAATCATGCCAAGGTTGACTTCATAGGGAGATCCATCCATTTTATGTTACTTGTGTTGCATTTTTATCATACATGATACCAGAGTCCTACTGCTGCTCTTTATTTCAATGTCCTGTCTTCACAGGAGGGAAGTGGAGAGCAGAATAAGACTGCACCCATACCCTTAGTTGTGCAACCTGCCCTGTACATCACAATCTTTTTCTGTATGATCCTGTAACTAGGATTTGCTCTTAACATATTTTCACATCTCTTTTGGAATCAAGAGAATGGCATGAATATAAATCAATGTTTTAAAAGTAAATTGAGATTTTGGCCTTTTTAATAATATTTACTGTAAGAAACCTCTGCTGTTGTCAAATTGGGAATTCCAAACCACTGTTTTGAAGAAAGGGGTTGGCAAAGCAGAAAACTGAGGGGCTAGCTGATCTTACATAATGTAATGTGTAAAGTGTCATAGTAATGCCTGAAGTAATAGATTGATTTTATTATTTTAAATGGTGTTTAGATCCTGTATGCTAGAGGAAAAAAAAGATGCTAGGGAAAAAAACTGCATAATCGGGGTTAGTTCTTTAATAGTTTTATTAGCACCTTCATGCCTGTAAACAACAATTTTCATGATGGACATGGAAAAAGAATTACAGCTGATATTCTGTGATCTGTGATTTTTGTATGTGTGAGAGATAAACATAGACATTAAATATTAACAGTTTTTTCTGTATTTCCCTATTTTATGCACAATTATCTTTTTCTATTTTTTCTTGCAATAAAAAGGAAACTGTGCATTAAGGAACTTTACAGCAGATAACTGAGAGAATGCACTAGGCCAGTGAGATTTGCTGCCTTTAAAATAAGTAATCCTATTAGAAATGAGCCCAGACTTCTAACAGAAGTAATGAAATACAACAGATAGGTGAATTGAATTTTTTTAATAGTAATGTTAGACACCTACAATTATTTAAAACTTACTCAAATACAGGATTGAATCATCCTGGTTTATGTACTATGCTGGATACCTGATGTGCAGTACATTGTTAAGGACTTACTTTGTGTTTTAGAAGTGTATGTATTGGTATGTCTTTCAAATTTATATCTCAAGATTCTTTAGTACTCCTTATTTTACTTTGACCTCATTTATAAATTTTGCAGTCCTACAACTCTCTGTTTCACAGTTTTTATTTTTTTTAGAGTTGACATGAGACACACTTCATTGTCCCACATACTGAATTGCTCAGGAATAGGTTGTATATACTTGGTGGGAAGCTCAGTTCTGTGTCTTCCACAGTCACTAAGATAGCACAAGAGACTGATGTTTCCAGGTCTTCCATTTGAGACAGCAATGCTTACGTGGACATTATATCACAATTCTCATTCCTTTCTTACTGGTGTTTTCAGAAAGTATTTATTAAAATACTTTTTATCAATTAATTATCTTTTATTCCAACACAGTCTATCAGCTTTGGGTTTTGGTGCTGATATCAAACTATTTTCTTTTAATATACTGCTTTAAAATGTTTTTAATGTGTTTTCTCTCTAGTTCTAACAGTTGTTCCCCTACATCTTCCTAGTACTTTGTCTGTTTTGTTTTGATTTTTTTTTTATAACAGCTTTTTTTTCATAAGACAATGAACTCGGCAGGACCTCTTAAGGTTTCTATAAAAACCAATGAAATATGGTTTAGCTCACAATTTGCAGATTTTTAATCTTTAAAATAGATGTTTGGCTGACAGCAGTAGGTATACATGTATATGCACACAGTAGCAAATGTTAAATTTTTCATTCTTTCTCATTAAGTTAAATATTTAAACAAAACAATCTTAAAACTTCTTTTCTTTCATGATGTGGTGTGTGTTTGGTAATTAGAGTATTCTCGTAGTGTGAAAAATAAAAGTATAAAACTTACATTTATATTTTCTTATAAAAGACTGATCCTAGGTTTGGGAGGAGGGGTTTTCATTTGCTTGGTTTTCTGAAAGCATATATTGCGTCCTTTGTATCCACTTACTTAATGCATAAAAGCCAAAATGTGGTCTTATATTAGCATAACTCGGAGCAGAAATTCAACCCGACAGTTTTAAGACTTTTTAAAACATTCTGCAAAATGTCTTTATCTGATACTAAACTTAGCTTTTTTTGGCATGTAACTGGTCCAGGAAGAAATGGAATAATGATGCACATTTAAAAAGATGTAGCTCTAGTACTGGTCTGGGTTTGTAACTTGCTTTTGTCTGATGCTTTCACTACTGCAGAAATGGTGATGGGGTTATTTACGTTAATTCATTTGGCTTGTTGAAAAAAATGTGCCCACACTCCTCTACTTAATGGGATTCTTTCCTCGTTGCAGTGCAAACGGCTGGAGCAGGAGCTTCATCATCTGAAAGAGCAGAACCAGACTTCAGCAAACAACACGAGACATCTGACTGCTGAAAACAATCAAGAACGTGCTCTGAAGGTAAATCTCCATTTCTTCTTGCAGGCAAATTAAGGTTGTAAGCCCCTGGTGCCAGCTTTCTGGGCTGCATATATCAGTTGTGTACATTTCGGCAGAAGTGAGCTATGGTGTTTGCCAACAACCCCTTCTTTAAACACAGATACAGCACCCTTCTGTTATGGTTTTATTTTATTTTGTGTGTGAAAACAACAACAAAAAAAATAACATATCCTCCAAAATATTGGGCTGGTAATTAATGCTAAATTCTTGGGGCCTGTCCTTGCAATATTACATTTTATAACGTGAAGAAAACTGCAACTATTTGCCTCATAGTGCCTTTGCAAAACTAATATTTTAAAGCATGGCTGTTTGATCTGCTCCCAGCAGTGTGTGCTATATTAATAACATTGTTGACCTATACTACTAGTGACCACATAGTTGATACTACTATTTGCAAAAGGGGAGATAGTTGGAATTGGGAGGAGGAATAATAAGTCTTGTCAATAAGAATAAAAATGAGCAGAGAGGCGGGAGAGGGTCAGAAAAAGGACAGTGTGAAGTGACAGGTTATTGCTGCTTTGAGAAAGGGAAATTGTAACGTCAGTGGAATTGATAGCTACATAACCAGCAATCTCACCGCTAGCCTTAGTAAGAGACTATGCCAGGTAAGATGTGCAGGCATCGTGTGCACCTGTTCAACCACTATATTCTTAAAAATCTCTTTCATGTGGGTAGTGGAGAGACAATATAAATACAGAAGTTACTCTATTGATACTGGGTTGTTGTTTTAAAACTGTTTGATTTAGGCAGTAAGATCCAAACGTATCTTATTATAGTGAGATTTTCTTCTGCCTCCTTTTTAATTATTTTTTTTTTAATATTCGGGAAACATCATTATTCGTGCAACAACTTAACAGATGCAAAATATAAGGATAAAGGTAAATCCTTGTGTAGTTTGACATTTCTCAGTAAAAAATTAAAATGAATAAATGGAGAGAGGCTGTGTGCCACACAAATGCTGTATGTTACATGGGTTTATAATTGCCATCAGTATCTATGGTGAATATTACAAAATCAAGTGTGCAATATTGAAAGCAATCCATCCTCAGATGAGTAGAAACAGAGATCGTAAACATTCAGGGCTGTTTCTGACCACAATAATAGTATTGTTTTGAAGCTAGTATCACTAAAATTTAGTGCTTGCTGAGCATGCTACTTATTGAACAAAGTATTTTTTCATTAATTCCATGCTGACTTGTTTCTTCTGTGAAATTGAAAATATTTTGCACAGTCTTTCTGTTAGAAAATAGAAATGTTTTATTGAAACTACACTTTTTACATTTCAAATTGCCTGACATAATGCTTACAGAATAATTATATTTTCAGAGCAAGTGACTTAATAGTTCAGAGTGCTACTAGGATTTCATTCTAAGCCTGATATTGCTCTCCCAGCACCTAATCTTTAAAGAATTTAATTTCTGGCTGTCACAAGCATTTTTTGATTTTTAAAGGTTAGAAGTTAATTGATCTTAGTCTTTTAGAGATTAGAGTCTGGGGAGGAAAAAAGAAATGCTTTCAAATTTTTTGTAAAGTTGAACTTTTTTTAATATTGTACCTCCATAGAGTTTGTCTCAGTTCTTATAACCATTGTCTACAGTGAAGGCGGGTCCATCGGAGTATTTTGTAAGTTGACTTCTTGACCTTGAAAACTTTAAAATGCCCCTATGAAATATAGGCAATAGTTGTTAGCTTTGATATACAGCATATGAACACTCATCCTGACCTAAGCTCTCATGTAAAAGAAAAGCTTATCACCACTTTCATTGTTTCTACAGTCCAGAAAACACTGGCTGATAGGGATGAAAATCATGTCAGTGACTTCTTTAGAAATGGGTTTGACCGGTGCTCTGGCCTGGCTGTGGCTGGCCGGGGCGCTCCTGCTGCCACCAGCAGCAGAGCTCCCTGCCGGAGAAATATCCAACCGGAGCCCCCAACAGGTAATGCGATGTGGGGTCTTGGCACACACCTCCCCTGTCAAACCCTCTTTTTCCTACCTGCTGCCTCCTGCCTCCTGCATGCACTCAGTAGCTGTCGTAAGTGCCACGTGCGGAGTGCAAGTGCAGACCCAGGAGTCCCCTCCTGTCTCCTCTCTACTGCAGATCACCCTCTGGTCATCTGACCATTTTCAGAGAAACACGACAGGCAATTTGTGGTGCTGGCTCAAATATCAACACAACTATTTTTATTTTCACCATGATCCAGAGGACTACATTTGCTTTAATCCCCTCCATGTGCAAACTGGCAGCTGCACTATGTGCTGTTAATTCAGATGTAAACACCTGTCCTGCAGGAGTCCAGGTATTCCTTCTGTGTCTGTCCAGGACAGTTTCTGTTAAGAAAGTGGGGTTTTTAAAATTCTTTAATTTTCCCTACTCTCTTAAACTTAATGTTGTCTTATTCAATTTGGCAAAAGATATATTCTGGTGGTAGGTGGCAGATGAGGAATTTGATCTGCTTTAGATTTTCTACAGGGAGTAACAGGAGTGTAAACATCAGATGTGGTACAAGGATACTTGCAATCGTAACTGGATAAAAATACAGTAATCAGAATCAGCTAGATTAAGGATGGCACAAAAGTTTGTGATAAAAGATGAGATCATTACCTCTATGGGATCCTGAAATACACTTAGCAACAAAACCCAATGGGTATTGTTTCTTCTTTACTTTTTAAAATTATCTCACAACAGTGAGTTTCTCAGAAGGAAAAAAGTGTTAAGACCAATCCACAAGCAACCTGTTTCACTCCACTGATGCAAGCTTTTAGCTTTATTTGTAGTTATATTGCCTCCCGGGGCTACTGTCACCCTTCTTTGAGGCAGTAGCAGCCCATAGACTTCTGAATTTGGCAAAGCACAGAGAGACAGATTGTAACTGTGGGACAGGTGTGGTGGCAGTAAATTGGACAGATCCAGGATCTGGAAATCACAAAGATGATATAAGCCTTCTTGCATAGTTTGTTTTTACACTTCTAGACCCCATGTCACACCTGAAGATCATGTGACAAATAAAACATATGACATGTAAGGCATGCTGTATAGACCTATACTGTGCCATTTCACCTTATTATGCAATGTAGCTTCTGCATGTTTTTGGTAAGATAGCTCTTCTTGACTAATATCTATCATACATACTAGTAGTACTTGTTTTAAAATTTACATATTTAATGTATTTATTGCATAGAACATTCCTTGTAGTGATTGGGCCACTCAGTCCCACAACGCCAAACTGGTACTCCTAATTTTTATAATATTCTTATTGGTCATATGGGATTGTATTACCTGAACAAGTAGGCCAATTTCAAATCTTCCCTCAAAGCAATGCCCACAACTGCACAGAGGTCATTCAGAGAAGCATGTGGGTCCCTATTTCCATAGTTAAAGTAAAATAATCCTCCTCTTTGTAAAACTATTTTAAAAAATCTCTTATAATATTTCAGATTGAATTATAGCTAAATCTTTTAGGGATAATTGCTTCCTGAGGGCCTATACATTTGCGCTCTTAGTACATTTTCATAAAATAAGATCTGCAGAGTGCTTTGCACTTCTAATGTGTCAGGGTCTATATGTAAGATTATCCATTTGTGCTTGGCCTTTATAATTAACATTTGGTCTCTACTGATTCTAATAAATGTATTCCTACAATACACTGTAATAGCGGATTCAATTAAACACAGAAAAATTGAAGAATTGCTATTTTTACATTAATATTCAAATATTGATGTGGATCATTTTATTGTTGTTAACTTTGTAGTTTTGAAAGACAAGAGTTTTAAGTAATACATTTCCCTAAAGAACAATAAAGGTTTTGCCAGTGTGAATGTCCTTCTTACTCAGTAGAAGAAAAATAAGAAATAATTATTGTGAAACAAATAACTTCATGTGAAAATTTATGGAAAATATTTAACTGCATTTGAATGAAACAAAGGGAGAGGTGACTTTTTTTTCACAGGCCTGATTTATTTTGTAATTTTTAATTAGCTGGTACATTCTTCTTAAAGCAGTTATTAATCTGCTTTAAAGACCAGAGACACATACTAATTCTACTTCCAAGCCAAACTCACAAAATGGAGAGGAGGGCTGTTTCATGATGATACACAAATCAGGTGCCCTTTAGTGTCTAAATGAGTTTACTCCATCCAAGTATGATGTCATTAGAGCTTGTAAAGGTTATTAATCTCCTTCAGAGCTGTTAAAATGTTAATCTTTGGTTATGATTGGCTTGTTTTGTGATGTTTTTCTGACTAATCAATCTTCTTAGTTGTGGTTTTCTCTAGAATTTTATTACATGCTTCTATCATATTATTAAGAATATCATAAATTTAGAGTCAGAGACAAGAAAGTGACCTGAAGGAGCTGTCAGAAATTTGTCTACAGTAGCGTCAAAAAGCAATTGTAGCTCATGTTATCTGCTTTCTGCTGATCAGTAAGAAGGCAGGAAATCTACCACACATAGTAGTTTGGTAGTTGTTCCAGTGATGATGCCTGTGAAAAAGCCACTCCAGAAGACTTAATTTAAGTACTGCCTGATGCCTGTCATAAACTGTATTAAACTCTGTTTTGTCTCCCAGATTCTTAGAGTAGAAACCATTTTTCCACATCTGCTTGACAGTGCCAACCACAAAAACAAATTCAGATGACTAGTCAATGTATCATCCATGAAGAACATGATCCTAGGAGAATCTGATGTCATAAGAGTTTAAAAAAAATTAAAAGCATTAACATGAAGTTTAAAATGTTGATACAGTTGAAAAGCATGGAATATTCATGCTATATAGGCATATAATACTGACTATGCAATAAAGTGCTTCTTTCAGAAGATAGTAACTGTGGCCCTTATTTGCAGTAACTAAGTAATTCTAACAACGTTTTTACGTTTGGTGTTTCAGAGTTAAGTCTCAAAGCTTCATTTTAATGAGTTTGGAGCTGGTTTATGGCTACAAAGCCCCTGATTTGTTTCTGACA